CTACACATATGTAACAACCCACTGAATGGTATGTGTAAATACAAATGTGTAACAGGACATTGGTAACAACACTTTTTGGTAATGAAAGTACAAATGTTACACTTTACATTAGATTTACCATGTAATTACTCTGATGTTACATAGCAGCGGCCAGTAAGTTAGGCTTTGCATATAAATTGTGGTTGGTGTCCAGAATGTTACACTTTATATTAAGTGGAGAGTTCCTGAGGAGTTACCATGTAAGTGCACTGGTATCACAGTGGTGCACCAACTCCACCAACTTGAGATCCAACTCCTCCCACTTTACATATCCCTAAACCTACCCATTTCCACCCCCTGGATCCCATTTCCCCCCTAAAACTACCCATCTCCACCCCCTGGATCAAATTATTCCAATTACTCTTATACATATTGTTGTTACAAAATGTAGTTATATATGTCCTGTTACACATTTGTACTTACACAACCATTCGGAGGGTTGTTACATGTGTGTAGTTACAGAAATATTACAGCTCTAGATACTATGTACCAATGTGTACTTACACTGTGGTTACATACTACGTGCACATCTAGTTACTATGTAAGTACACAGGTATTAGGGCCACATAATATAAAGTGGGACCAAATACAGTGTTGATTTTTGGCAAAATGCATAGAAAACAATGGGGGTCAAAGGGGTGGGGGTGTCAATATAACCCCATCACAAAAGCTGTAACAAAACACATCAGGAGGGTTAAAGGTTTTCTTCATTCCACCAAATTAACCAGCTCTGCTTACCTATAAGTAATGCCATGTTTGCGTAGGAGTTCAGTGACAAACTCAACACTTGTTGACTGAATGTAAAGGTGAACCTCAGAGTTTGTTGTAATGTAACTGGGTGAAGCAGGCTGTCTGAAAAAGCACAGAACATGAGTTTACATGTTAGCTGAAACTCACAGGACCCGCCTGAGGGTCAGTTCAATAAATCAAATCAATGAACAGCAAATATTAAGTAAAGGCTATTTGTAAAATCATTCTTACTTGACTTAACTCAGAATCTACAGTAGATATCACATCTCTTAGCAAATTTGATTTTCACAATCATCCTCTGACAGAATGCCAGTCAATAAATGTCAACAAATAACCTCTTACCCCATTGTGACTTGTTAAGTTCTGCACTGTGTCCACATGTTCCTGTGTGATGGACAAAACCTGGTCACTGCATGTGAAGCGAGTAACAGCTGCAGTCATTTATTGTATAATATAATATGATATATGTAATGTAATGTGATATGATATGATATAAGCTAATTGCAACATTTTTTATCTCACAACATGGATTTTGATTCTTGCAATTCTGAGAAAAAGTCTGATTTACAATATATAAACATCAATTTTTATTCTGACTTTTTTCTCATAATTCTGAGTTTACATTATAAATATACAGTATATATATATATATATATATATATATATATATA